GTTGGTACTCACACACACACATCTCTTCCGATACTTGAACTTTTAATCTCTCTTTGGGAGGTAAAAGACTGATACCGTTAGGCCACTGGCCCGTTGGTAAGTTAAGAAATAGTTAGAAGGGTACTAATCTCATTTTACATACAAAAAAAAAATATCTGACACAATTGAAAAGTAATTTTTGAAATGTAAGTGAAAAACGAAACAAACGTTAAAAATGTGAGTGGTAGTTATTTTCGAAAAATATTTTAATATAATATTTATTCAAATGAGGTGTTAGTGAAATTAACAATATATAAATATATATATATATATATATGGTTGTATGTTATGTAACTTTATCATATTAATTTTAAAGGAAATGTAGTGAAACTGCTATGGATGTGACCAAGGTTATGAAAATTTAAAAAAAAAAAAAAAAAACTACGGATGGTGCACATATGGACGGGGTGCGTGGAAAACAAGAGGAAAGTGGAACTCGGAATAGTATGGAGAAATCCATGTGTAGCAGGAAAAGTTATTGTGTTTTTTTTATTCGTGTACACTTTCTGCAATTTGACTATATATATATATATATATATATCCATGAGGCTTTACGTGCAGACTTTATTACCATGTTTGTTTTCTTCGTGGAAGTTTTTATTTGTGGTACACTTTCTCCAATTTGACTATATAGAATATAATATAATCACATATTCATTGTCACATAATCACCTTTTTTTATTTTTTATTATCCTTTAAATAGAAAACTATATATATTTGCCCAAATTATTACATAGCCCATAGTCTCCAAACTCATCATTAGTTGACACGTAAACAAAAAATAAAAATTAAAAAAAAAAAAGAAAAAGAAAAAAAAACAGGAGATCCCCTCGAAAACTATATCCCCACAAACCCCAAAAACCTCCTTATCTCCCATGTTGATTAATTCAATGAATCTGCACAGACCTTAAAATAATAATAATAATAATATTTCTTTTATTGGCATAACAATATATTTTCATTTTTCATATTTGTCCTTTGGATGTAACCACTTATCAATAATTAGGCAATTAGGTCATATTAATTATGATTCATTTCTATGTGGCGAACAATGTGGTGAACACGAACCCTAACGGTCCAATTCTTTTTATCAAAAGTAATAATAGACTTAGACCAAATTAGAATTGTTGGTCAAAAAGGTTGTAGAATATTCATAACCACTATAACATAAAATAATTGATACTAACTAAATGAATATTCCTTTTGAGTTGCAACAATTTCAACCAACAAAAATATAAAAAAAAATAATTTAATACGAAACAATGTAGCAACATGTTCACAATATACCTCGTGGCCAAAACTAATACCATATAATAATACCAAATTAATCAATCAACCATGTTTGAACTTTGAAGTGCAAAAATCTAATCACCTACGACCACGCTCAACGCAAGCCATTACGTTAGAGGTAAAATTGACGGTTTTTATTGGACAGAAGCTGACGTGTTTTTTCTTATTTTGTTTATTATTTTATGGGTTTATGGCGGTTTAAGCGCTTGTCTTCCTAACACGTGTCGCTTATTAGTCTTGTAACAGTTTCCACCTTGCAAAGCCAATGCAAACATAGGAACAGCTAGAACAGTATACGTGTTAGAGCACTGCTGGAAATGATCAAATAAGTTAAAACATAAAAGCATCTGTACCTCAAATAATTTGAGATATGATGTGGCAAAATTTTTCTTTTTTATTTTCTTTTTTTATTTATTTTTTTAAAGATAAGAAGTAATATAAGTTATATTAATAAATATAGAAAGTAAAAACTTGACATTCTAAAATTTAGGAAGACACAAACTCCACATATGGCATTTTCGGCCTTTGACATACTTCAATCGATTAATATTTAAAGTTTTGGATGGAAATGCTCTATATGTCAAATTTGAAATGTTTTGTAGGATCCATAAACTAAAATAATAATAAAGAATTTTTATTTGGCATAGCACTTTTTGATATGCTAAATTTAACATATTTGATGATATATCAAATACCAAGTAAACATTTAATTGAAAAAGTTTTTGATGTCAAAAATAGATGTTACAAAAGCTGTGTAAGATTTAACATATCAGATGAAAATGCTATCAGGCTCAGTCATGGTGGATTTTATTTATTTATTTATTTAATTTAATTATTTTCTATTTTTCGATGTTGGTGTTAGAATTCTTAGAACACCTACACATAAAATCCTTACATCCAAAGGAATTCTTTCCTACTCCATGGTACCACATATCGTACCATGTTTGGCTGAAGGGATTAATGAGAGAGGAATAAATAATAAAAAAATGGTGTTAGGTTGATTATATTGGTAAAACATATATAAAAACTATACGTTTATTATTTTTATTATTTATTTCATCCAACAAAATAAAATAAAAAGTAAGGAAGATGCTTTCGCTTTTCGGGGATATCATATCCATCTATTTATCTCTCACTTCCATTAAATTTTGGGTAAATTAACTCTCTATGGTTTAAAAATTAACTCTCTTCAAAATAAAACTAACTTACACAAATCTTCCTTTTCTTAGTGACGGATGAAATACTTTAAAATGAGAGATGATCCATTCTTATTTTTATTGAAATCTATTTATTAAAATCGCAACAATAATCTGTTTTATATTATTAAAAAAAGAAAAAAGAAAAGAAGAGAATGAATTTCTTTAGCTTTTTGCCCCATGCAAAGCTCTTGTTTGATATACATTTACAGAAGTATAAAAGTCCAATTTAAGAGAAAACTTATATTCAAAATATATAAAAACCGTTTTTTAATTTTAAAAATTAATTTAAAACACTGAACCAGACAAAAAAATAAAGTTTAGCACTGCAATTAAGCTGCCACCAGATTTTAAGAATAAAAAATTTCAACCACCCCATTTTTAGCATGATATGTAAACAAATATAAGAACATTAAAAAAACTTAGGCTTCAAACTTAACAATAAAAAAATTCAATGACATAGAATGTCTGTCTTTGCAAGTCTAATAGAGCATTTTGAACGTGTGTCATATGTGCTGTATTTATAAAATGAAAAATATAAAAGATATAATATATAATATATATATATATATATATATATATAATAAATAAATAACAATAATAATAAACATAAGAGCTGGGGGTAACGGGGAGTTGTGACGATTAGTCCAATCCAGCTTCCTTTTGTCTGGCAAACAAACGCGGTTTAAAATCAGGGACTTCCAAAGAAAATTGGTAAGAAGGGAGCAGGAAGAAAAGGAATTCAGTAAAAAAATCAGATATGAAACACCCACGCGCCCAAGAAGGGTGTGTTTTATTTATTTATTTTAAAACTTATTTTTTGAAAATAATTGAAGAAAAAGTAAAACATATAAAAAGTCGTGTTTGGTGCAATGCAAGCTCAGCTCTTAAATCTTGTGACTAAAATTGTGGAGCTGTGACCACTTGACATTTTGCTAATAAAATATCACAAATAAAATCTTAACATAATTTGTAACGCGTTTAGTAAAAGCATATATATATATATATATATATATATATATATATATATATATATATATTTGAATCCAATGCATTTATAACATCATTGAGTGTCCAATTTATTTATAATTTTATGTAATGAAACTTAATTAGTTGATTATATCATATTCTTGTTGATTGAGTGACATTAACGTCAAAGTCTAGTCTTTTTTTTTTTTTTTTTTTTTTTTTTTTTTTTTTTTAATGAAACAAACAATCCACAAATCTTCAATAGTGATCGAAACACCCAACACCTTCCCCATTTGTGAAAGAAAGATCATACTATTTATGTGAATGACAATTAAAATAAGATAATTGAATTTGTGGATCACACGTTGTTTTTAAAAAGTCAATGAAAAAAAATACTGAGTATATCATAAAACTAAGGGATTTTTTTTTTTTTAAGCATGAAAACGATATCATATATCGACACAAAGGCTAAGCCAGCGGCAGTATAAAACAAAAAAATCAAGCCAGAAAAGGCATAAAAATTATGAAGCAAAGCAATAAAATGAAGAACATACCCTAAATCTGTGGAGAAAACAGAGCTTAAAATTTTGCAACGGAACCACCATAGAGTGACCCAAAAGGTCAGGCCATTCTTTAAAACAATAGCTCCAAAGTTATCGCCACATGGCTCTCCGACACATAACAAATTCCGCACAAGATCAAATTAAGGAGGAAAAGATCAAATTTAGGCAAGAGAAAACCAAAACCGACCTAGATCGGAGATCCGCTGATGTGATTCGAAAATGAACCCAACATAAATAGATCTAGCATAACAAAACAAAAATGGCTTAAAAAAAATATACAAAGAGATTCTACACGTTTGTTTCACGCACCAGAGAGAGCGTGGAGCAAGTACTCAAATTTGGAGTGCCAACCATGAGTTTTGTTTGTTCTCCCCTGTGCTGTCTATATAATGGAATGGAGTGCCATAATGCCCTCCCATCAAGACACATCTCAAAAAACGACTCTCTCTCTAAAAGATCTAAGTGAAGCACACAGCAATGTCGCCAAACAACTTTTCCGATCAATCGTACGGACTATCGCCGTTCAAGTCCGAATTCGATCAAAGTTCCCCCGAAATGCCAGAAACTAATGTCCAAATCGTCACCTCCGGTGGACTACGCATCCCGGCGCACTGTAGTATTCTGGTAATTCTAACAGCTTCGATCTCTCTCTGGTCTTTTCCATTTCCAGATACTGATTCAATTTTCTATTCGATCAAAAATTCAAATTTTCAATCCTAAATGCTTCTTATTCAATTGTAATGCTCTGTTCTGAAATTGAAGAAATTTTTGTGCGTTTAAAGAACATCTTCAATCGTTTTGTTTTGATTAACAATAACTTTTTCACTCCTGATCAAAATTATTTTATTTATTTTTTTAATTTTTATTTAAATTTTACAGTTTTGAGGCATTTGAATGAAAAGATCTGATTTTTTTTGTTGTTCTTCTGTTTCTGAAAATTGAAGGCCTCTGCATCGCCTGTACTAGAGAGCATCATAGATCAGCCTCGTAAACACCGGAGCTCCGAGAAGACTATTCCGATCGTCGGCGTTCCTTCCGATGCCGTTGTCGTCTTCGTTCGATTTCTCTATTCCTCCAGGTCAGTTGCTATACACACGCCGAACCTTCCTAGTGTGTTGTATATCTTTCTTATTAAGCATTTTGTATTTTATTTATTTACTTATTATTATTATTATTTTTTTTTGCGTAACCTAAAAAAAAAAATTCACATAAACTATTATTATTATTATAAATAAAAACCATTTCTATGAATTTTTAGGGATCCAATAATCGAACAAATTTATCTATTCACATAAACTATTATTATTATTTTTAAAATTTAAATTTTAACATTATATTCTAAATTTTCTATGCCAAAAATATTTTTATTACAAAAAATGAATTTGAAATTAAAATTATTTTTAATTCTTTCATTCTCAATTTTGATTTGGACAATACTATTTAGATATACTAAGCTAAATCTAAAAGTTCTACAATATTCCGAGATATTGTACTCCCAATTCTTTCAACCATTAAATTTTCATTTAATATAGCTTTAAAATCTAAAGTAGGGTACTGGAGTATTCATTTTTTTTTTTTTGGACCAACCTATTATAAAAAGTTCTTTTAATATTTTGCACATGGAAGAAACTATAATTTTTAATTTTAATTTTTATAAATAAAAACTATTTCTATGAATTTTTAGACCCAATACTATTCTGATTCTGTTTGATTAACTTATACAAATACGACGTAGGTGAGACTCCACATATTTTCTTATCTCCGTCCTACTTTAAATGTTACATTCGGAAATCATGACTAACATTGTTGTAAGTCACGATTTTCGAACGCGACATTTAAAATTTAAAATGAGACATTTAAAATGAGACAGAAGAAATAGTATTTTTTAAAAAGTAACAATAGGAATCTAATAATAGAATAACAGATGTGGGACTCTAGGATCTAAATTATTATTTTTTTAAAATTTAAAATTTAAATTTATATTCTAAAATATCTATGCTAAAAAAAAAATTATTACAAAAATTGAATTTGAAATTAAAACTACTTTAATTCCTTCTTTCACAACTCAAAAATGTTAGTTTTGATTTGGACAATACTATTTAGATTTACTAAGCTAATTCAAAATTACTACCGACCTAAAAGTTCTACAATATTTGGAGGTATTGTATTCTAAAATTTTTCAGTTGTTAATTTTTTTTAAGTATATTCCACTGTTACATTTAACGGCTTAAAAATCTAAGGTAAGGTATAGGAGTATTCTAGAATTTTTCTTTAGATCTAACCTATTATGAAAAGCTAATAAATTTGAAAATTAGTTTTTATAAAATTGATGGAAAGAAATGTGACAATTAAGTGCATTCCAATTGGGGCGGCTTCTCTATTCAAAATATGAATAACTTAAAAAATTAATGAGACAACTATAGCATTTTTTTTTTTTTTTTTCCCCAAACAACTATAGCATTAAAGAAGCAAAATCATTGTGGTCACGATTCACGTCTATTAAGCTACACGTGGCACACTCAACACCTCAGAGATATAAAAATTGAATATTAACTTTCCGTAATAATAAGTTGGTCGGTAGTAAATTGGTCCCTAGTAGTTGTCACTGCCTAATTAGTAATTAAAGTAGTACTAATATTTGAAATGACTAAAAAGGCCCTTGACTGCAGTTGCACGGAGGAGGAGATGGAGAAGTACGGGATTCATCTGTTGGCTCTGTCCCACGTGTACTTGGTTCCACATAATATATTCTTTTTTTTATCCTTTACACACAAAAATATATAGATTTTAGTTCCAAAGATCAAATAAAATTGATTTACCATAATCATGAAATTTGAACAATATGAATAAGTTTAATTAGGAATTCAGTACCATTTGAAATTCTTAAACAGTTGGGTTCTTTTCTTCTTCTTCTTCTTCTTCCTTTTTTTTTTTTTTTTTTTTTTTTTTTTTTTTTTTTTTTTTTGTGTGTGAAGGAAAGGACGTTTCTTATGTAAACTAAATTGTTTTTCCACCTTGGATTAAGAAATTACAGTAGGATGAAGAAGAAGTTGTAATGGGAGATTACCAAGCTACTGCTGATGTGTATGTTCCGGTTTTCAATGAAGAAGTTGGAGGTGATGTGTATGGGGAAGTTACGAATTTTGAAGCAACTGAAAGAGACATGCAAATTGATATTGAGGAACCTTCTTCTAATGTAGAGTCAAAATATGCACTCACTGTTGAGTTAAGAAGTCTTTGTGGGTCATCAGATGATGAGGTTGAATCCAACTACCAAGACTTTAATCCTTAAAGAGACTTGGAGGTTGTACAACTTAAAGTGGGCCTCAAATTTGCAACAACTACTGATTTTAGAATGGCTTTAAGGCATTTTGCAGTGAAAAATAAATTTGTTATTATGTTTAAAAAAAATGAGTTAAAATTAATCACTGCCATATGTAAACAAGAGTGTGGGTGGAGAATACGTACATTCCAAACTAAAAGTAAGAGTTGTTTGAGCATTAAGACATTCATTAAAGATCACAATTGTAGTGGAATTCAAACAAATCATCAAGCAACATCATCTTACATTGCAAATAGGTATTTGGAGGCAATCAGAGAGAATCCAAATTGGGAATTCAGTTCAATGAGACAAACTGTTACAAGGGAGTTGGCAACTAATGTTTCTATACACAAGATTTACAGGGCAAAGGGAAGAGCAAAAGAGATGGTTGAGGGGAACCATGGGGAACAATATTCAAATCTTAGAAAGTATTGCCAGCTAATTTAAGAAACTAACCCAGGATCAGTTGTTAAGATCTCCAATTACCCTAGTAAGACTGAACCCAGAAGATTCAAAAGATTGTTTATTTCTTATGAGGCCATGCATAAATATTTTAGGGAATGGTGTAGACCATTCATTGGTGTTGATGGAACTTTTTTAAAAGGGCCTTTTTTTGCTAAGTGCAGTTGGGATTGATGGAAACACCAAGATGTCCCCTTTGGCTATTGCTATTGTTGAGGCTGAAAATAGGGACTCCTGGTCATGGTTCATGGAAGAATTGATGAATATTGTTGGTCCCCCACGTGGCTTGACATTTATGTCTGATCGACAAAAGGTATTTTTATAATTAGTGTTCTAACTAATAAAAATATTTATTTTTAGTATGTTAATATATCTAAGTGCTAATTAATTTGTTTAATTATTTTAGGGTTTACTTCAAACATTTGAGGATGTCTTGGAAGGGGCCGACCACAGGTTTTGTGTTCGACATATGTATGAAAACTTCAAAAAGAAATTTAAGGGATTGCAATTGAAAATTGAGCTATGGAATGCTGCTAAAGCTTATGATGAGGTTGAATTTAACAAGCATATGCAAAAGATAAAGGATATAAATGGTGATGCCTATGATTGGCTTGTGAAGGTACCGTTCTATCTTTGGGCAAGGGCACATTTTCCAACTACTTCAAAGTGTGATTTGGTAATTAACAACATGTGTGAATCGTGGAATTCTGTTATTCTAAAGGCAAGGGAGAAGCCCGTGATAACTATATTGGAGTGGATTCAAAAACATCTACTGAGGAGATTTAAAAAAAAAAAGATCTTTTATGTCATCATACAATGGATTGGTGTGCCCTGAGATATAGGAGGAGTTGGATATATATAAGGATGCATCATTGGAGTATATTGTTGATTTTAATGGGGATTCTAGGTATGAGGTTGAGTTTAGGGGTAAGAATGAGGATGTGAACATGGAAAAGGAAACATGCACTTGTAGGAAGTGGGATGTGACAGGTATCCCTTGCCAACATGCTGTTGCTACCATACTTTCTAGAAGGGAACAACCAGAGTTTTATGTTGCTGGTTATTATCTTAGATAAAAATACCTTAACACATATGCCCCTATTATGTATCCTATGCCCCTAAAGATGATGAACAAATATTCCACAGACTTGATCCTTCCACCCCTATACCCTAAACCACCTGGAAGGCCCAAAAAAGCTAGGAAGAAAGCAAGTGATGAAGTTTTAAGACCAACCAAACTTAGTAGATCATATGTGGGTTTGAAATGTACTAAATGCTCACAATCTGGACACACTGCAAGGAGCTGTAAATCAACTGAAACCGTTGTTAGAGAAAAAGCCCAAAAGGTAAAGAAGGTAGACCCCGTTTGATTAAACCTACTTTTCTTGGGATTGACACTAGTATTGACAGAAGAGATTTGTGGCAAGCTGAGGTATGGTACAACTATGGTGTGCAATTATTATTTTTAAATAAGTAATCTTTAGTAATATATATATTTTTTAACTAACTCTTTATTGCAGATGAATAATAGAAGAACAACTATAGTATCTGAAAATGGAAATGGAGGTTTAGTTGCATCAAAAGGGAGAGGGAGAAGAAGAGGAAACGAAAGAGGTGCAGGAGAAGGGAGATCATATTCAATTGGAGTTGTAAACACTCAAACTTCAGTAGCACAAGAGGTTGCAAACACTCAAACTTCAGTGGCACAAGAGATTGCAAATGGAGTTGGAACAAGCAGCATAGGAGGTTTAGTTGTAGATTCATTAGCAACTAGGCCTGGTCTAATTGGAACAAGGGATGGAAGAATAGGTGGTTTACTTGGAAGAGGTTTTGAGGTACAACTTGAATTAAAAATTTTCCTTGTTTTTTAAACTTGAATTTTCTTGCGTGTTATATTAATTGTCATAATGCAATTCATTCGCACCACAGCATAATGGAGTTGGAACAAGTGGCATGGGAGGTTCAGTTGCAGATTCATTATCAACAAAAGTGCGTTTGGTTGGAACAAGAGGTGGAAGAAGAGGTCCTGTTAGTAGCAAGAGGTGGTCTGCTTGGAAAAGGTCCAGCTTCAGTTGGAGGTCCAAATAAATGAACTTAATGTGCGGCAATTATCAGTTTGATGATGACATTTTTTTGTCATATTTTTTGGACACTAATTGATGTAATTTAATGTGTAATATTTTATTTATGAATGTATTGGAGTGTTTTGGTAAACAGGTTGGATTCATTTATGTTAATGAATGCTTGGACGTGTGTTATTGCCACAATGGTTGTGAGGATACATTATTTGGGGGCTAAAGGTTTCTTGTCAATTATAGATGTATTGAAAAAAAAAAAAAAAAAGAAAAGAAAAAGGGTAAGGATCTATTTGAATATTTTTGTAACCAGGTTGCACTCAATTTGTTACTGAAATATGAGGATTAAACATCCAAATTATTTGTTTTTCACCAAAATCAATTTAAATTCTTTCTCGTTGCTGTTCTTGCTTCTCGTTGTACCGCAGCTGCTCCCACGAGTTCCTCTTCAGAATCTGTTCTGTTCTTGTGCTATGCAAGTGCATTCGATCTATTGGTTAGTCAACAACGGTTATTCCGAAACAGGAGTATGAAAAGTCTAAGGCATAAAAGCCAGAGCGTGAGCAAGGTATAACTGGTCTAAAATGAAATTTGATAAAATCACTACACAATTAATATATATATTTTAAGCACAAGAACAATTGGAAAGAAAAATAAATAAAATCAAATAAATTAAAAGCACAAGATGAAACGGCGGATGAAACCTTAAAGTATGTAACGATATAGTGTGATGGGTATTTTAGGTAATTTCCTCCGTTAAAGATTACTAATTTAAAAATAATAATTGCACAGAGGGTAATTTTGTCCGAAATATTTTCCCACACAATCATTGAAATGGAGTTAATTAAAATACCCCCTTATGATAGTTGAGGGGAGTTTTTTGTTATAACAATTCACAAGGGGGGGTTTTTGGCTAAAGGGTGAAAGTCAAGGGGGGGTTTTTTGCAATTCGCCCTACTTATTTTTCTATCATCCTAAAAATAAATTAAATTTGATTTTTCCCGTTTGTTTTAAACTTCGATTTGCAATTTTCGCTTTAATTATTATATGATTTGATTTATTGTGATTGTGAACTAAATAATTGAATTTAAAACAGAGAAAGGAAGGCGAAGATACAGAGAGGAACAGAATTTGTACCTACAGTTGAGCGAAGCCATGGAGTGTTTGGAGCGCATATGCACAGAAGGGTGTACCACTGTTGGACCCTACAATGTGGACCCTACCAAGAATAGAGAGCCATGTAGCAAATTCACCACGTGTCAGGGCCTCTAGCGTTCGATTCGTCACTTTGCCACGTGTAAGAGAAGGGTCAACGGAGGGTGTGTGCAATGCAAGCGGATGTGGCAGCTTCTAAGACTACACTCTTCAATCTGTGACTAGCCTGATCTTTGTAAAGTTCCCCTTTGCAGGTAAATTTAAAAACCCTCTTCTTTGTAGTGAAAATTATTTAATATTTCTGGTATTTATTTGGTAGTCGAATTTAATCGAATTTAATCAAAATTCATGTTTGATATTTAAAAAAATACTATTGAGAGTTGGAGTGTCAGTGTTTAAAAGTGAACAACGAACGTATTGCATTTAATGATTCACAAACCTTGCACATGTGATTGTGTGTTTGGATTGTGAATCTTATTACTCACATTTCTCATCACATAGTCCCATAGTCCACTGTAAAATTGTGTGAATTTATATGGGCTCCACAGTCTCTACAAACACATTTTGCCTTCTGTGCCTTCTGTGGGAAAGGCTGGAAGACTGGCTCTCCTTTTTTCCCCATGAGTGGCAAATATCAATTATTGATTTTACCGAATTTCAGATTGGCTCTCCTTTTTTCCCCATGAGTGGCAAATATCAATTATTGATTTTACCGAATTTCAGATTACATGTCAAGTGACTGGTGGCAGAGGTAGTCAACCTTGGTTTTTTACTGGGATTTATGGTTCTTGTCTTGAGAAGGAATGTGCTTATCAATGGTGGTATATTCACAATCTAAAGTTCCAGTTGGGCCTGCGATGGCTTTTGATGGGTGACTTTAATGCTTTGTTACACAATGATGGGAAAGGAGAAGGACATTCTAAAACCAGATGGATGCTTTGCGAGTTCAAGTTGTTCTTTGATGATTGTGCTTTAATGGATCTTCAGTTTAAAGGGTTTCCTTATACTTGGCGTAATAAGAGAGAAACGGGTAAACTCATCTTGGCTCGCCTTGATCGGGCTTTATGTACTACTCAGTAGTTCAGCCCTTTTCCTCGATGTATGCTTCATCACTTATCAGTTCATGGTTTGGATCACAATGCTATCATGTTGTGTTTGAATGATTCTATTTCCCACTCCAGACCATCTTTTTACTTCGATGCTCGTTGGGTAAAAGAAACTAATTTTAAACCCACTGTTGAGTATGTTTGGGCTTCATATGGGGTTGGCCCTCCATTACACACTATTTCTAATAAATGGGCTCAGCGCAAGACTGATCTTTTATCATGGAGTAGAGGTAGATGCACCAATGCTCGAACTCGGATTAATTTCCTTGAAGCTAGATTGCAATTCTTGAAACAGCAGGTTCATGACTATGACAAGGCTGAATGCTTCAAATTGGAGAAGGAATTGGGTTGTGCTTGGCGCAATGAAAAAATGTACTGGCTTCAAAAATCTTGAATTGCTTGGTTGAAGTAAGGGGACAAAAATACCAAGTATTTTCACAGAAAGACTCAGATCAAGCGACGGAAAAATGAAATTATTAGGTTATAGGATTCTGCTGGTACATGGAAAGATTCTATAGATGATATTCGGCAAGTTGCGGAAGATTATTTTTACAACCTTTTCTCTTCCCTTCTGGATCAAGATGATTCTCAATTTTGGGCTTCTATCCCTTCCAAGGTTTCGTTGGATATGAATCAAGAGTTGCTGAAAGATGGGACTATTGAGGAGTTGTGGGCTGCTTTAGCAAGTATGGGGTCCTATAAGGCACCAGGGCCAGATGGTTTTACTCCATTCTTCTTCAAAACAAATTGGGATACTCTAAAGTTTGATCTTCCTCAAGGTTCTAATTCCCTCTTACATGGTGGTTTGCTTCCGACTAATCTGAATGCCACTAATATTGTCCTCATTCCAAAGGGGAAACATCCTACCCAAATGTCTCATTTTCGTCTGATTTCCCTTTGTAATGTGATGTATCATTTATTCTCTAAAACTATTGCTAACCGACTCAAATTTTTTCTGCCCCTTCTCATCAGTGAATCTCAGAGTGCTTTTGTTGCTCATCGCCTTATTCATGACAATATTCTTCTGGCCATGATCTTTTGCATGTTTTAAAGTCTAAAAAGGACGGGGATTCTTGTTTTCTTACACTTAAGCTTGATATGGCTAAGGCTTATGATCAAGTTAAATGGTCCTTTGTTTGTAATTTCATGAGTCATTTGGGTTTTAGCCAACGGTGGGTGGATCTGATGAAGGAATGTATCAGTATTGTATCTTTTTCAGTGGTGTTGAATGGTGAAAGGGGGGATTCTTTTGTTCCTTTTAGAGGCTTGCGTCAGGGAGACCCTCTTTCCCCCTTCCTTTTTCTTTTCTGTACCAAAGGGTTGTCCTTTTATTTCAGCAGTTGGAGAGTAGGAAAAAGTTGAATGGTTTAAAAATGGCCAGAGGTTGTCCTCCCATTTCTCACTTGCTTTTTGCAGATGATGCACTTCTCTTCTGTAAAGCAAAGCTTTCTGAGGTCCGCAGTATTAAATCCATTTTGGATAGATACGATGGCCTAATGGGTCAACTGGTTAATTTTGATAAATCCTCTCTTTATTTTTCTCCTAATACTAATATGGATTTGAAAGCTCAGTGCAGACAAATCTTGTGCATTCACAATGTAGATTGGAAAAATAAATATCTTGGGCTTCCTTCAGTCTTAGGAAGGTCCAAGGTTGCCTCTCTCAATTTCATTTCAGATCGGGTTTCATCCAAAGTCCAGACTCTCAAAGGAAATCTGCTCTCCAAAACAGGTTGAGAAGTTTTGCTGAAAGCCGTGCTCAATGCTCTTTCGACGTATGCAATGCAATGTCTTAAATTTTCTAAGCAGAATTGTAAGGATTTGACGAGCAAGCTTCTCAATTTTTGGTGGAGTGGGGAGGAAAAATCTTCTAAGATTAAATGGGTTAGTTGGTCGACTTTTTGTGAATAAAAAATCTCTGGCGGTTTGGGTTTTAAAAATATTGAGGCTTTTAATTTGGCATTGCTTGCAAATATGGAGTGGCGAATGGAGGTTGGTGATGAATCTCTTCTTTTTAAATCTTTTAAGCAAAAGTATTTTAAAAGTTTCAATTTTCTTGACACCCATACAAGGCTAAAGCTTCATGGGCTTGGAGGGGTATTTTCTCTGCAAGGGAAATTATCAAAAAAGGATGAAATGGCGGGTTGGCACTGGAGAGATGGTTAATTGTTGGCATGACAACTGGCTTCCGGATTCTTTGAATAGTTCAGTTACTTCTCAACAACGGACTGCGCCCTTTTCTTATATGGCTGATTTAATAATCCAATCTTCTTATTGCTGGAATTCTGAGACGATGTAGAGGTTCTTTAATCCAAGAGATAGAGATTTAATTCTTCAAATCCCTCTTAGTGTTATAGGTGGGGCTAATTGCAAAGTATGGGGTGCGTCAAAGGATGGATCATTTTTGGTTCGTAGTGCTTACAAGATTACTCTCTCTATTCTTAACTTGCAATCAATGCTAACCCCATCTGAAAGTTGCAGTTTTGAGGCCGCTAAATCTGACTTGTGGCACACTATTTGGTCCATTCCTTCTTATCAAAAGATTCAGCTTTTTCTTTGGCAGAGTTTGCATGATCGTCTTCTTGTGAATTCTTTACTCTCAATTCATGGGATTGATACAATTTCTTCCTGTCCTTTTTGTGATTATGCTATTAAAACAATAGACTATCTTCTTTGTACTTGACCATTTACAAGTTTGGTCTAGTTGTTAAGCCCTCTGCGTATGGATTTTCGGTGGGCAGGTCCCTCTTTTTGGCCTAAGATGTGGCTGGCCTTTAACGAACATTGGTCTCGATCTGAGAATTTGCAGGACTGTGTGAGTCTTGTTTCTTTTATTTGTTGGACTATTTGGAAATGTCGCAACGATCTCATCTTTGCTAATTGTCAATGGGATCCATTTGAAGCAGCTCAGAAAGCGTACCATGACTTTGTTGAATTTTAAGAGATTTCGCGCCAAGATCGTCTTCTTTCTCTTCCTTCTCCTGCTGCGATTCCTACTTCTTTGATATGGTGTGCCCCAGCAAGAGGCTGTCTTAAGCTGAATTTTGAAGCCGCTTTTGATTCCTCTCGGTAGCTATGTGGCGGCGGTATGATTTTGAGAAATGATGTTGGTCAGCCCATCCGAGTGGCATCTTTCTTTTTCTCTCATATTAGCGGCTTGTCCTTTGCCGAAGGCTTAATTTTCCGTGAATGTCTTTCTCTTCTCAAAGTGTGGGGTTATCAAAATGTTGTGGTGGAAGGGGATTGCCAGTTGGTGATACGTCTTTTACCCTCTGCTGAGGCTTTAAGTGTGATTTTTAATGATGTTCTTGTTAGGTTTAATTAACAAACAACAAGTAAAAATCAAAATTGATCATTAATTAAAGAGAGGGTTTGATCTCATACCTGATTAGAAAATTAAACTTGAGATACCTTTTTGAAAATTCTTTATCGCCCTTTGATAGATTTGAAAAATAGAGCGATTTACCCCATTCTGAAAGTTGTCGATACGATATGGCTGAATAAGGGTTTTAAAACCCCTATATATAACAACAACAGGGGGGGACGACTTCTATAAAAACAAGCATACCTAAGTTTCCCTTCCTATCATGGAAACTTAGATATCAATGGTTCCAAATAAGTTGGAAAACCACAATCCAACGGTATAAAACCATGCTCCCAATTAGACCACCAAATTGGAAAGTACAAACCCAATCCATCAAGTATCAATAATCACATTGCAATCCTATTTTAGAAAACGTAGTGCATAGGATCATAAAATAATTTTTATTATTTATATATATAAAAATTCCAACAATCTCTTACTTGGTTCATGCACTCTAAGTTTTATAAAATGACACTATGGATTGCAACACACTTTATAAAAGTCGAGTGGCCACTCATTTTTATTTAGAAAACACAATTATCGAAATTGATGGATTGAAACTTTAGAACACTCTCCTCCATAAATTTCCTCAATAGTGGATCATGAATGCGTAGACAAGTAATATATTAGTCTAAACAGTTCCATGGTCTCAAAACCGATTCCATCTAGGATTCAAGCAAATATAGTGGTTTTACTGTATTTCATGAGATATGTAAATTGCATGTGGTCTAAACGCACACCTCACTATTCGTCTTGCTTCATACCATCGCGGTATGTCACCTGAACATATTACAGCAAACCGCCAACCTTCTGTTCAGTGTAAGGGTTTACTGATATGGAGCCAATCTCATATCTAGCCCAAGCTATCCTCATAGAGCGTTAACACTCCCACAGGCAAACTTTAGTAGTTATGTTTAGATTTACCAATGTGGTGCCAATTTCACATCTAGCCCAAACAACTTCATGAGTGCACTACCACTCTCAGGCAACAAGAATAATACGTGCACATATCATATACAACAATGTAATAATAATAATGATGATGATGCATGCAAACAACTGTCATCATAAGGTGTAAATAAACTGAAAGAAAACAACTGCAATGTAACATGATGTAATAGAAAAATTAGACATCATAACACAATGACTCTTAAATACCCATTCGAATCATGTGCTCTTTAAATATTTTTGGCTGAAGACCTTTAGTGAGAGGATTTGCAATCATCCTTGCTGTATCTATATGGGGAACCTCAATAATACCTTGTTTAACCTTCTTGCACACGTAAAGGTACTTCACATCTATGTGCATATTACGTTTGGTCAATTTTTTATTTTTCACATATTTAGTGACAGCTTCATTATCACAAAAAATTATCAAAGGCTTGTGTATGGAGTCTACAACCTTTAAATCCGCAATAAACTATTTCAACCACATAGCACGTTTGGTCGCTTCATAACAACTGATCAACTCTGCATACATAGTTGAATCTGCGATAATAGATTGCTTAGAGTTTTTCCATAATACAGCTCCCTGAGCCAACATAAAAATATATCCAGAAGTGGATTTTCTACTACTCAAACAACCTGCATAGTCCGAATCAGAATAGCCAACTATCTCTGAATAATCTAATTTTCTGTACACCAAGACAAACTCTTTTGTTCTCTGAAGATACCTCAAAACTTTCTTCACCGCCCTCCAATGAGCAATACCTGGATTTTGCTGAAATCTTCCAAGCATCCCAACCACATAACTAATATATGGTCTAATGCATGTCATAGCATACATCAGACTTCCAACTGCAGACGCATATGCGGTGACATCAATTTTACTTCTCTCAATCTCATTCTTAGGACATTGTTCTTCTGAAAAAATATCCCCTTTTACAACTGGAACCTCACCAGGTGCACAATTTTCCATCCCAAAAGTTTTTAAAATTTTATTAATATATGCCTTTTGAGATAAACCAAGTGTGCCTGAAGTGCGATCTCTATGGATCCTAATACCCAAGACAAACTCAGCATTGCCCATATTCTTCATATCAAAATGACTTTGAAAAAAAATTCTTCGTATCATGTATCGTATGAATGTCATTGCTAGCTAGTAAGATATCATCAACATATAAAACAAGAATAATAAAACGACTCCCACTGACCTTGAGATATATGCATTTGTCTCCAACATTCTCCTTAAACCCATAGCTAGTAATCACTTTATCAAATTTCAAGTACCACTGTCGTGAAGCTTGTTTAAGCCCATAAATTGATTTCTTTAACTTACACACTTGATGTTCATGTCCCTTAACGACAAAACCTTCAGGTTGAGACATGTATATCTCTTCCTTAAGGTCTCCATTAAGGAATGCTGTCTTCACATCCATCTGATGCAACTCAAGATCATAATGTGCAACAATAGCAAGAATGACTCTCAAAGAATTCTTTGATGAAATTGGAGAGAAAGTCTCAGAGAAATCAACACCTGGCTTTTGCTTAAAACCTTTAGCCACCAATCTAGCTTTATATCTATCGACATTTCCAAGTGAATCCCTCTTGGTCTTAAAAACCCATTTGCACTCCACCGCGTTGCGATCTGTAGGTAAATCAGCAAGCTCCCACACCCTATTTACATCCACAGAGTGCATTTTATCTTTCATAGCATCTATCCAACTAGAAAATTCATGACTCTCCATG